GGGTCTCCGCCGTGCGGGGGGACCTGCGAGTCCCCCCCCCGCGCTGCCTCGGTGAGGGACCAACACGAAGCAGGAGAAGAGAGGGGGGAGAAGGGAGCGTTTCAGTAGAGATGCTCTGCAACTGGTAGTAGACGAAATACTTTTTTTCTTTTTTCTTTCTTTGTTTTTCTGTTGCTACAGAACTAGAAGAAATGTTTTGGGACTAGTTTAAACTCCCCAGGGTATAAAACGGGACCTAGTTAACCACAGCTTGCAGCAACGACTTGGGAGCGCTTGGTGGGAATTGCTGGGAAGAGCACACGTTTCCTGAAAGGCAAGCAAGGTAAATTCTTTAACGAAATGCTTTAATTGTACGTAGGCTCTGAGGTGAAAAAGTGCTACGTTCAACTGACTGGGTAGGCAGTCGTAGTGCAGGAAAATCATCCTGTAGCTGGACTTTGGGCACAGCCTGTAATCTGAAATTATGTTCTTAGGGAGTATGTTAATGCTTTAGCACCTAACTGAGCCTTTTGGGTTGTGCCCTAGAACTAAATTTCTTGTTAGTCCTTGGTTTATAAATTCCTCGTAGTGTGTGCCTTTCCTTTCTATTGTTTTGAGGCTGTTTGTTGTGTTGTGAAGGGTTCTGAAAAGTAAGTAACACTGCCGCTATTTTTCAAGAAAACTCTTCATTACACTGACCTTTTTACACTTAGTTGAAGGAGTTACTCTCTTCAGTTCTATGGCATTCTTCCTTACTTGGGTGGAAACTCGCTAATATACTCTAGTAAGTCATTTCTGAACTTCAGTGTGCCAATTACATTCTCTTGTTTCAGGTTTACATTAAGGACATGGTGACTGATTTTGATGAAAAACATGATGAGTATTTAATATCCCTTCAGCAGAGAAACCGGTAAGATGCAGAACTGCTGCCATCATTGAGTGTATAATATTTGTTGTACGCTATGCAATATAGTGTCTAATATCAGCTGTTGTGAATTATTAGTTTAAAAGCTTGGTTGTAATGCAAAGTCTGGTTTGACTTGACTTGATTTTTTTTTTTCTTCCTTGTATTTGCCAAGGTACTATCAAAGTCTTTATTTTTAAAGAAGAGCACAGTATTTCTTCAGTATACCATAAAAAATGAAATAAAATTACTTATTCCCATTACTCAAAAGGCATTTGTTTACAGAGCACGAGGTTCTGAGGTCAGAAGTAACTGGCACCTCACAGTGCATGGGCATATTGCTGTGAGGCAAGTTTTTTTTGCTTTCAGAAATACAGAAAACTGTATCCAAAAGCTATTAAATTTCCAAAGTCAAGCTCTACTAAGATGAGAGATAATGACACCTAGGTTGCACTTGCAAACCTGTGAGTCAGCTTTTACTCTGACTTCTTTATATGTTTCTACCAACTTTCCTGCTTGAGGAAGTGAGAACTATTGTATCCTAGATAGGTGAGATTTCATAGATTAATTCAGAAAGCTCTGTAGAACTTCCTGTCTGTGTTCCCTCCTGTACCACAAGCCATAATGCTACAACAGCCGTGGTTGTGCTAAAAGAGCAGGCAATTTCTGTGAACCTAAGTGCCTTTCAGAAGAGGCAGGCTGCATCTGTGTTTGGGGCAGAAACAGCAAGCGTGGGCAGCACGGTGTGGAGATGCCTGTGTGGGAGCAGGCTGGCAACTGCCCTGAGCCGGTCACAGCCTATTCCAACCAGCTCCAGAACTGGCTGAAACTGGCTGGCATTTTGGCATGCAGTGGGCATCAGAGGAGGCCCCCTTCCCCTCAGTGTTCAGCTGAGGGAGTTCAGAAAGAGCGGCTGCTGCCAAGGGCAGGAGGTGACCTCGGGGGCACTTGCAGTCCAGGGGACTGCTGAGGACACGGCTGGACACGTGCTAGGGGAAAGGTGGTTCACTGGAGCTTTGCGGCCCATGGGTGACCCATGTTGGGGCAGGTGCAGCCCTGAAGATACTGTGGCCCCACTGGTGACCCACAGTGGAGCAGAGGAAAACCAGGAGAAGCACAGAACAGCGGAGGAGAACCGAGAAGAAGCAGACAGAAATCGTTACCCACGCAACTCTAACCTCTTGGGCTGCCCGTCATCTCACCAAAGAAATTGGGACGGAGTGAGTGTCACCTGTCGTGAAAACAAGGGAAGCTGAGACTTGGAACGGGGAGGGTAGGTGTTGGGCTGAAGCTGAGCCTGGGGAAGGAAAGGTGTTTACTTATGCATTGGATTGTGTTTCCCAGTACTCAAATCAGTGATCAGAAGTTGGTGTTAATGGGCAGTACATTTAAATTGAGTTTATCAAAAAAAAAAAAGTTGGCATTATTTTGTCAGTGATAGTAATTGGCAGAAAATGCAGCTGCACTTGGATCTGGCGTGGCCTGGGACTGCAGTAATTGGAATGTATTTGAGACTCTGGAAGAAGCCTTGGTGATTCTGGTATTGGCAATGTGGGAATTTGTGTTGTTGCACTGACCCCATTCCCCCATACAATAGGCACGCCACTTGCACTGCAAACAAGGCGTGAAAAAGTGGGAAATGGAGAGGCTGAGGGGACCCGAGAGAGCTCTTGTCAGGTGGGAAGGCAACGGAGAAGAGAGGGGATGGTACCTGCTTCAAGCCCCTGCGCCGGTGGCCTGGAGCTTGGGCCGTCTTCACGTGCAGGATCCAAGAACAGTAGCCTGGGAGCAGGTGCTGCTGTGCGGTGGGCTGTGCAGGGGCTCACCCTGTGCTGCCGGTGTTGCTCCAGGATTACCAGCCTGCTTAACGGAGCTGGAGAGCCGAGCTGGCGATTTTTGTCAGAGCGATGGGCTGAGAGCAGAGGTGTTAAGGAGTGCTCGGCCTGAAAGGGAGGCTCTGGTCGGAAATGAGTAGCTGGTGGTGCTGAACTATCCAAATTGAAGCCTGTGTGCCGAGCCAGCCCAGAGGCTGCCAAAGTAGTGGGTGAGCTTAAAGTGACTGCTCCGGAGTGGGATCTCGATGCCTGGAGCAGGAAAACTGTGGACTCTGGTGAGCCAAAAACTCCTTCTGTGCAGCATGAGTTAAGCTAATTAAGCTGACCTGCAAAGATGGTGAGCACTGCTCCCCAGCGTGTGAGTGCTCGGTGGCCCTTTGCTCAGGGAAATTAAAGAAACACAGAACTCCTACAGTCCCCGAGCAAGCAGGATGGAGGATCCTCTTGTCCTAGGAGCTTTGTTTGTCCAGGGAGCTCGAGGCCTGTGCCACTTGTGAGCACTAGTCACTGTGACAGAGGTGGGTATGCAGATAGCTGATGGAGGGATCTGTTAAGCAGTGGATCGACCCTATCCCTACAAATGAGGTACCTTCCTGGAGAGACAGAATTTGTAAAGGATATATATTCAGACGACTGTATTGCTGATTTTGTTTTGTAAGGGCAATGCCTGAAGTTTGTAATAAGCAGTCAGATTATGACGATGATAACCCCAATAATCTAGTCCACAGAAGCAAAGGTGAAGTTTGTGATATATTTTAAAACTGTGGTGACCCTCTTGGTTATGTTTTGCAGGAACACCATGCGCAGGTTGTAGTAAGTATAGGTTGAGACTGTTAAAATGTAACACAGATAATATAGTCTGGTTCTCAGAGGTGTGTGATTGTACTATAATGTTGTGATTACATGTTGAGACTGATCCAATGTTAACTCTGGTAATGGAGTCCACTGGGGCAAGGGGTGGAGTTTGTAATAGATGAAAGTTCAGACTCTGCTAATGTTGATCACTGTAACCTCATTTCCTGTGACAACGTAATATAGGAGAAAAAGCGGCTCTTCCATACCTGGAAGCTAGGTTTTATTTTCAGCATTTGTAAATGTTTGTTGGGATTTGAGATTATTTTGAATAAGAACGATAAATGGCCAAGAACTACTAATATGAGTTAGGAGACTTCAGTTAACATTTTCCTGGTTAGGATAGTGTGTTAGGCCTTGGGTAAAGAGTGTTGTTGCAGGAGCTTCAGCCTTGTTTCTCTGAGAGAAAACCTGAAAAAGCCTATTCTCTCAGCTGATTCCTCTACCTAAGTACCTTCATGGGCAGGTCTGGCCTTGGAATATTCGATGACTGACAATAAGGTAAAGCGATGCACAGAGAGAAAATAACTGCAGCTTATAATGAATGGTAACAGAAGAAAACATGTTCCTGGCCCACATATGATGCTCTGCTGATAATGCCTGTGCATTTATCCAAAGGAGTAGTAAGAATCTTTGGTGGAAACTGCCTGTCCATTCAGATGAGCTAAAGCTGATGAATTGTACGGTTCTGTTGCTTCCTCCTCTGCTGGAGCAGCATTAATCAGAAAATGCAGAGAGATGAAATTCCAATCCCATGTGTTTTCCACAGAATTTTCTGACCTTTTTACCTGTTTTTCTTTTAAACCAGAGTTGTATGTTACAGTCTTGTAGTTACTTATCTCTTTCACCAAAAATGAAAACAAGAAAAAATCCAACCACAGCCTCTGGAACAAGCCAATTTTAGAGGATTCAGTAAATCTTAGGGGTATTGCTGGCTTACTAATTGCAGTATCTACTCTATAACACAGAATCAAGAATTGAATTATTTTAAGAATTGGTAGTTCGGTGAAATGTAATGTCTTTCTGGTGCCAAAAAATTATTGGAAAAACCAAAAACTGCTCGGTGGCAGCGTAAGTTCGTGCATAGCTGAGAATATCTGTAACTTGTGTTATGTTCAGATTTTTATGAGTTTCTATCACAATATTTTAAAGGTATTTAACTTGGCTTAATATTGATTGATCTCTACTGCACTATTCAAAAAAAAAAAAAACTTTGTTCATTTTATTTTTTACTGGACTTTTATTTCTAATACTACTATTGATTGGGAGTTTTTCCCCATAAATTTCAAAAGGCAAATAGCAATATTTTTCTTTTTCACTTTATTCTTGAAAGAAGCTCAACCATTTTTGAGAGTTTTGTTTAAAATTAAAAAAAAAAGATTAGTAGTTCTCAGGCAGAATGTTTGTGTACTAAATTTCAAATGGAAAAAATAATATCAACTTAGAAGCAACATAGAAACAGTCTTTATAGATGGGAAAGCCTTGGTCAAATTTAAGTACTGACATGTTACGAAAGCTTCTAAAATGAAGAACAGGTCCTGGAAGCTATGTTCTGAAACATTTTTATTATTCAAACTGTGAATATATTTTTCTGCTTTGTGACCCTGCGTTTGTGTAATAATTGCTAATATGACCATCTGTATAAGCAATGCATATGGATGAGTTGTTATCCTTTTTATGCTAGGATACTGAGACAATTAAAAAGAAAAGACCCTATACAAATCAAACTGGAGCGGTTAGAACAAGGATTTTGTCTGTATATGAATGGAGCTAATTCAGAGCCAAGAAATTATTCCAAAAAATTCAACTCACAAGGCTACCCTAAAACTGAAGCAAGGACCGCCAGGACAAGTGGTGAGTTTCGTCAGAGTTTTACAGAGATTGTAGTGTAGAACTGTTTTAAACATTTTTCTCAACAGAGAGACAGCTTGCTTTGGGACATAACACTGCTGATAGATTTTTAAGATCTGGAGGACTACAGTGTTAACCTAGTCTGGTCTCCCGTACGGCATAGACTATGACCAAATTATATTCAATAATGGCTCTTTCGTTAGGCTCATAAGTTTTGTTTAAACTATATTAGTCCTCCTAAAAAGACACATAATCTGTATTTAAATATTTGAAGTAGGGAAAATCTACCTTTTTCTCTTGTATGTTTTTCTGGTGATTAGCTGAGTTTATTTAAAATGTGTATCTTATTTCTAGTTTAAGTCTGTCTCTCACAATAGAGAGCAGTGTAGTATCAGGAATATTTTTGCTTCTGTGAAGTTATAAAATGTAATCTTAATGACGTTCTAATCATTTAGCTTATTGAAAAGTTGATTTTGTTGAATCTGTGTAAAGCAGGTTACCAACCTTGCTGCACACTTGCTATAACCTCTCAGCAGACCCTATCTACATGGGAACAGTACCTACTTGAGCTTTATCTTCACTTAAAAATGAAGACAAAGAGTTAAAAATCTTAAAAATAAGATGAGTGTTTAATATGATTGAAAGCGTATTAATCTCAACAATCTGTAAGTCAATTTTAGCAGTACTAATTTCTTTCAGCCAATGTTGGGACCATAACTGCAACCTTCCCGCCCCATGTTGCATTAGACACATGCTACTTGTTTTCAAGTTTAAGCGTGTTCAGGCTTAGCCATGTTCTATTGGGCACTCTGAAATTGATCTTACTTTTTCCATCTCTTTTAGTTTCTCTCCAGTCCTCCACATGCTTCCAGCCATTGCAACACAGCAAACATCCTTTTTGTGTCATGATGCAGAAAAGATGGTATTCTTGAATATTGAAAAAGAACGAAATTGTGTGCCTCTGTCATACTGGGATGCTAGACCTTCAGGTAGCTAAAGAGGGTGTAAAACAACACTTTTGACTTTTGTGATCCAAACAGTTTGGAAGACTATTGTGGCAGGAGGTGTCAAGAGTAACTTCCTCTCCGAGTTTTGCTATGCAGCTGCCAGCTCTAAGCTTGACCAGGTTTTTATGGTCACTTGTTGTTACTTGATTCAGTTCAGGTAGAATACTTAGTTTCTGTTTGAGACCTGAGCTACTGTTCCTTTAATGACTTCAGTGGGAGTCTGTGATCCGTTCCTTACTTCCATGGAGTTAGACAGTAGCATTATTTCCAGGGGAGGGGAACCCAGTGTTTTGGTGCATCTTAGCTATCTATAAATATGTATAGCTGCAGTGAAAGATACCAACCAAATCTTCATTGTGTTATTTTGTTTCTTTCATTTTATTTTATTGCTGGAGTCTAGAGTGGGAGTCACTGGTGATCTGGATAAATGGCTTGCCTGGATGTAGTACTTTAGCAGTTTTGTAGTCCATTTTATTTCTAGGCGTTTTCTCTCAATGATAGAAAATGATTTTACTTACAGAAATGATTTCTAGCTGAGATACAGCGCTGAATTTTCTTCCCTCTCTATCTCCTATGAGAGTTATTACATCATTTTATTACTTCTAAAGCATCTATCTATAGGATTAGTCTTCTCTTAAAAAAAAAAAAAATTAGAAATGTGTGCCCACCTTCATAAAGCAGCATGGGTGCAAATCCCTCTTTGTGGTTCCTGAAAGTATTATCATAAATATCTTTTCCATACTATTTTGTCTGTATTCCCTATCAGATGTGTTATTGGAGTAATTCATGTGAGATGAAATGAAATGATGGACAAACTTCTTGGAATAATCCACGATAGTTATAATATGCTTAGACCTAACAAACGAATTACATTAAATGATGGATTTATAACACGTAAAGTGATGCTACTGATCTATGGGTATATTGTGATGTCTGGCTTATGCACCCAAAGAAATAATTTCACAAACAACTGTGCACTCCCAGTGAATGTTTGTGTGGTTGCAAAGGTGTGGCTTAAGGGTAGCATGGGGTCTCCTTGATTTTGACAAATATTTTGATGACTTAGTTCTTCGGTAAGGGAATGGATGCTGTCAGCTCAAACCTTTTAAAGTTTGGAAGGGAATAGCATCAGTTGACCTAGTTTGTGCAGCAAAACAGGACATGGCTGATATTCGCAGCCCTTCCATCCCATGGAAAGGATGTTGTTGTTCTGAAGTAAAGTTTACAGCACAGATGATTAGCTCAGTCGCATCTGCTTTGCTTAAACTACTGTCCTGAGCAGCTTAGAGTGACAGGATCTCATGAATCCATAACAAAATATTCAAAGAATTCTGAGAACCAAATGCTCAACAGTATTTGAGTCCTGCCCTGTCCCTTTCTGCTTATCTTCACACCATCCATGAGTGGTCTTCTGGGCAGTTGTTTAAAGAGAGGGATTGTTTAGGAAGTGAAATTTAAAGACGCTTCCAGTTCTGCCCCAAAGCACCAACTGAATCAGACTGTGCTTCAACAGCACTGTAATTTTCAGGAGAGCTCACCCTCAGTGCCAGAAGAGCCCCATAGCATTCGGCACCAATGCTGATGACTGCAATTTTGGAGTTAATTAGGAGTAGGCTATGGAGCAGTAGCAGCTGTACTTGGAGGAGTATGTTTTATCAAGCAAGATACCAGACGTTTTCTTCCCTGGCACAGTCCCCTCTTCCCCTCTTCTCTGTGTCCTGTTTTAGACCTCTTTGGGCAAGAGGAAGATACTTTGTGCTGAAGGTATAGAACAAGCAGTTGTCCATCCGCTCAGTAGTTTTAGCATAACTCTAAAGTGGTATTAAGCTAGCACTGTTGCTGTAAGCAATGATCCTACCCTTTGCCTGCTCTCTCCCAAGTGCTTGTACCAGCATTTGTGCATTCACATGGTGAACCAGGTTGGACATCTGACTGGGATTAAAAGTAATCTTTCTTTTTATTTTTCCCTCAGTAAAAATTTGCCTATATCAATTCCCTGAACAGTTCACTGTACGGGTGCAAGTCTTGTCCAAAACGAAAAAAAAGAAAATGTGGTACTAGGAGCTCGAATGAGCAGCCTGATCTAATTTTGAAGTAAGCTCTGCTTTGAATGGGCTGTTGGACTATGTGACCTCCAGAGGTCCCTTCCAGGTTAAATCTTTCTGTGATTTTATGACCTTGGTAGGAAGACTGCCGTTCTTATTGGCAGTGCCAGTTTCTACCGGCTTAATGTAACCATTAAATTATGGTTTAAAGAAAAAAGGTTTTGCATCAGCTGTTTTTCTCCACTGAAAAGGAAGCTGTAAATCTATCTTGGATGCAGGAAATCATACCTTTATTTAGGATGATATTGAAAGTTTTGCTGATGGAGTCTTTGCTCCACTGGGGAAAAAAATGGTACATGCCCTGTGACCTGTAGGATACTTGCCTGTTTCTCAATCAAAGCATTATCTCGGAAATCCATTGCTCCACTGTAAGTTGGGACCATTGCCAGCACAAGAGCCATCTGTTCTGCTTATCAACACGGAGAGAATTTTCACATTTCTGCCACCAACTGTTCCTTGACTTAAAAAGGAGGAAAATGACTCCTTGTTCTTCATTTATGACTTTTCACGAAGAACACTTCTCTGCACAGTATGTTAAACATCTAAATACGTTCTGTTTAATCTGCTATTTCTCTAGTATGTTTTCCTAATTCAAGAGTAAGTATGCACAAATCCTTTGTAAACCTAGCATAACATCTGTTGTTCAATAGGATGATCTTGGGCTCGCTTTATCAGTTTGCCTTCAGTAGTATGGATTCTGGACTCTTAACAGTTTTTCTAAGACAGCTTAAATTCTACCCATCTAGGAATTAGAATGATGTACATGCCTGTTCTAGAACATCTTTCTGTATTTTCCTATCAATGAATGTGGGCCTTCCTATGTTGTTCATGCAAATGTAGCTTTAAGCTGTTTATTTTCATGAACCCTCATGGTGGTGACTATTCCCAAAGAGGTTCAGAAATCCTGCTACTAACGCAGGACTAGCTGGTGATTGAAGCAGAGAGCCTTTTCACTTGTTAATGCTGTTCAGATGTGAATGGTGGACATTCCTCCCCTCAGCTGGGGACCTGAGGATCATTTAAAAGTGTATACGTATACAAAACTGTAAGTAGGGTGTATATTGTCAAATATTCTATTTCTGTTTTCTGTCTTCTAATTCTTGTCTTGAAATTCTGGAACAGCAGCCCAGCTAGAAGAGAGGGACTTGCGAGAACGGAGCACACAGACTGCACCAAGCAAAACAAAGCGCAAAGGATGGCTTCAGGTAAGAAACTGTTTGAAGGTATGCATCCTTTAACTAATAACCTTAGGTTGGAAATAATTTGGGGGGAAATGGTTGTAAGTGGTACATAACAGGCAGTTCATAGGCCTTGGGCTGATTTCTCATGGAGTCCTGGTGTTGATCTGGTCTTGGGTACTAAGTAGCAACATGAATAAATACCGCAACCAGTTTTTTATCTATTTTGAAGCGCAAAGAGGCAGAAAATCTCCTTGTAAAGGTCCGGATTCAATAGCATCCATTACAGAAACTTCTGTAGCCTTGAAGTAACTGATTGGCTCGCTATTCTCAAGCAGAATAAGCTGCTGCTTGACATAGCTGCTGGCATGCTTAACCTCTCTAGTGCAAGGATGGAAAACCTCATCTTGGAGATCCATCCTTGCTTGTCACTGCAGTTCTCTGCCCTGCCATATTATTGAAGAGACACATAGGTGTGATTTGCATAACTTGAATTGTAATTGGTGAGAAATTATTGTATATCAGAATAGAGGAAAATGCATACAAGTAGTACAAAATTTCCTGTCTACAGGAAATTTGAGGCCGTTAGCTTCATAATTCTTGAATCAGTGGATAAATCTGTGATCTTTTCTTTTGAATTAAAGAAGGATCTGATCTAACAAGTCAGGGAAGAGGATTCATTTAACAGAATAAGTAGTGTGTATTTTAAACAACTGAGACATCTGTCACCGAAACGATTACCCTACTTGATTAGCAATTGTCTTGGCTGGATGTCCAGTCTGTACCTGGATGACTGAAGATCAAGGTCACGCAGATTTTCTTTTATTTCAGCAAATACTGGAAATTCAAGGTTTTAGGCTGTGTTACTTTATAAATAACCTTTACTGCTTAGTTGGATTCATTTTTCAGGCTGTCATTTCTCTCAGTAGATTTCTGCTTACATGTTGGCCCATCAGATGTCGTTTGCTAAATTTGATAAATTTATGGCTAGTCATAAGCTATGTCATTCTAATCACAAGAACCAAGCAAAGAAGAAGGTTTCTCCTCTGACTGCACTAGAAAGTTAGCCAGCTATAAGTACCTGTACTACTTGAAACTAGCTTCGAGTGATATTTTAAGTCTTGAATCCAATTGGATGGGAGTGGAGCTATAGTAGCTGATGTACAGCTGGAATTATTTAGCTAAGAAAATGTGTAATCACTGAGTAAGCTGCAGGTGGTGCCAGACAGCAAGTTGTATTTTTCTTGTTTGTGTATATGGTTTGTAGTGGGTTTTTTGTTTTGTTTTTATGTAGCTTCCATGCAGTATTTGCTAATTCTACTGTGGGTGCAAGAAATATTCAGCATGGTGTAAGATCCACGTTTTTCTCAGAGTGCTATAGAATGCTTTGCTGTTTCTGGATGTTTTCTCCCATCCAGATCATCAAATCCTTCATTTCACACAATAGATTCAGAATAGTTCTTGATAGCAAACTGAATTTACTAGTTCCCTGTCAGGAGGTTTTTCATCCACAACTGGAGAAATTCGGCTGCCTAAATTTACCACCTAAATAGACTGTGGTGTTCTGCAACGTGTTACTGCTCCTATGAGGCTTCTATTCTAACTATTCTGGACTGCCACTGGAGATAATACAGAGAAAGCTAACTTTAACTGTTTGGATTAATGGTAAACCTTAATGTCCAAGTGAGGTACATCCAGTTGTAATTTAATATTCAACATCATCCTATGGAAGGTCCTTCTATTTCTGTCCAGCAATACTGATGGCTTTTCAGTGAGAGATCTTGCCTCTTGCTAGAACTTGATCTTAGTGTTCACTGCCTTCATAGGTGTGTTATTTAAGGTAATAGCTTGAGCTGTCTACTCATTAGCAGAGCCTTCCTGGTGTTCTAGCAAGGGTAGAAGGGATCCAGAACTCGATAGTGGTGCCCCCGTGAGAGCCTTTACCCGTACATGGTCACCTTGTAAATTCACCCCCAAACTGCCGCTTGAGTTTGCCATGGAATTTGTCTTGACCACCAGATTGACTCCCTGCTGTCTTGTTGTGTTCTGTTCTGATTTTCCTCTCTCTTGAAATGAAAGGTACTGCTATATGCATTTGAAATGAGGAGAGCCCTGTTCTTATATCCATTTGACTTGATTGATCCCTGTAACAAACAAAACTTTCCCAGGAATTTCTCAGTGGCTTTTTTTGGATAGCCAAAGGACCCAGCAAATTATTTTTGAAACTGTCTAACTTAATTTCAGGCTGTGCTAAGGTATGCTACAAGGCCAGAAGGTAGACTTATTGACAGAACACGTTCTACTACCAAGTTGCCTTAGCATCTCTTCTGTGAGACATCTCTGACAGATACAAAATGGTAGAGGAGCATATGAACAGCCAATTAAGTTTGATGTCATTGTGGAAATTTCCAGATCATAAGTTGTTTTTCATAAAACCGTATTCCCATCATTCAGCTCTGAGGTTTTCCTGTAAGTGATCCCTATAGAGGGCTTACCTAGAATGGAATATATATCTTTGTACGGGAATTCAAAATTCGCAAAATGGTTACTTGCAGATAAGTTTGTTCCCTGGGAGACGCATATGGACTTCCTGCTTTCTGTTTCTCTTTTTGACTGCTGAAATAGTGTGGCATAGAAAGGTGAGATTTCTCAGATGTGCATGAGTTATCCCTCATTAGCCAGGCTTCAGTAACTGGTGGTGCATACGCTTTGCCTGCATCCTGGTTATGAAGCAAAACAGTAATTTGAACCACCTTCATAGCCATGTCTATGATATTCTCAAGGGAAAATAAATCTTTGAGTTTGAATGTTTGTGGCACAACGTTTCTCTGTGCCCCCAATACATTACACAAGACTAACACATCTTCCAAAAATTGCAATTGCTTTAAGTAGTTTTTTTGGTTCCTTTATAGTACACAGGCATTGTTCTGTAAAACATAATCAAACTGTTAACAGAACAAAGCCTAACTTGTTTAAATGTTTCTTTTTACAGAAAACTGTGGAGATTAAAACAGAAAGTGGATCTAAACTCTGCATTAAACCTCCTCCTGAGTACTCTGAGGATTTTGAACCTTATGAAAGCGTGAACATGGAGACAGATGATGATGATGATGATGATGCTCTCTGCTACTCCCAGGTACAGCTCACTCTTGCCTTCTCTTGTTCACAGTAATGGCAATGGAAACGTTGAATGGGCTCAGTTATCAGTCTTGGCTAGTGCATGCAAACCCCATATATAATAGTTCTTTCACTAGAGGATTTGGCATTGATGAGATGTCATAAAGAAGGAGCAAAATGAAAAGAAAGTAGAGGTTTAAAAAAATCTAATCTCAGTCAGCAACGCTAAAACATCAAAAGTTTTAGCTTATAGCAGGAGCATATTTTCTCGGACAGAACCAAGCTATCTCTTGAAGGGAGGGTCTTTTCAGTTCATTTAGCGATGGTCCCCATGGACTTCACTGTTGACTCTCAGGTTAGATAAAGCTTAAGTAACACTGGTTACCATTCTTAGGTTTTGTTTTTTTTTTTTGAATGATTAGGCTGAAATTGCTGCATGTCATGGTTTTACCTAACAGAAGTTAGAATAAAGTTTTAAATACTATAAGCAATGTAGTTGCTTTCCATCAAAGGTTATTATTGTATTGTTATGACTGTACTGTTTGGCAATTTAGCCTTCCATTTGGTTACTAATTGCGGTTGGTTCTAGCATACTTCGCAAATGTCCTGTCCTTAAAAAATGAATAATTAAAAAAAACCTCTGGCTGTTTTTCTGTGTAATGAATGAATGCCATCAAAAAAGCCTTTCTATCTATATATGAAACTGTCCACAGCTGGCTGATACCACTTATGTCAGGCAAACCTGCCAAGCGTATTTTCCTAGTTTGCACTTCTGTAAAGCTAATAAAACCTCAGAGATTCATCATCAGCCATAATCCAAGGGATAGATGTGCATGATTTTGAGCTATTTGTGTTCTTAATTTTGCAGATTTTACCCTCTGTCAGATATGACTGAAACTGCCCTACAATTTTGAAGGCTATGATGAAGGGATGGGTTTACAGAGGGACAGCCAACATGACTATACAAGTCTTATTTCCGTAGAAAACACAAACTTCCAAGACTTAATGAGATAGAATCATTTCTTGGATAATAAAGAATGCTGCATGTTTCTAGCTTTAGCTGGACCTTATGTGTGGTGGATAACAGCAACTATTGGGTGTGGAATAATCACTACCCCTCATATATTCTAGTGTGTGTACACTACATACGTGTATGTATGTACTTGCTTTGTTAGAGAACAAAATGGGGATTTGAAGACTCTTAAGGCACTAAACAAAATCACTTGTTTGTAGAATATATAACCTGAAAATAATCTGAAATTTGGCTTCCTTTTAAACTCTGTTTTGTAGTGTCTCGTATTTAACTGAAATTTTCTCTGATCACGTTAGATGTGTTTTCTCTCTTTGAAGTAAAACCCACATAGTATTTTAGAAGGTGTAAAAGTAAATTTTTTATTGTTTTTTATTTTTCTCCTTTCAGTTCTACAGTTGGTGATCTTGGGAAATCATCTGCAATTAAAATTACAGTAAACGTCTTAATTGTTTTTGTTCCAGAATTTCATGTCTTCCAGTAGCAGTCCATCCAGTAACTTTAAAGACTCAACCCTGAACTCCATTACACAACTTTGCAGTGACAGTAAAAAGGAAAAAATATTATTAAGTATTGAGGACATAAAGGTATGGGACAGTGTTTTGGTTTGTGTGTGGGTGGGGGGGATTCTTTTTTTTTTTTTTTTTTTCCTACTACGTGATTTGTTGCTCAAACTTTGTAGAAGCTTGGCATGGTGATTTGAAACAAAACATCAAATTGTCAGGCTTTCTGAGAAAATGAAGCTTTTATAAGCATGGTTAACTATAGATTTGGCTAATTTCTCCTACAGCCTGTCCTGTAGTTGAGTACCATGACTTCAATGTCTCTGTTTGCATGTATCTTTATATAATTTTTATTTTTATTTTGTTATTTTTTTGGAACATCCACCCAGCTGTTTGAGGGGGATTGACACTTTAAATCTTGAAACAGTTTTCACCAGTCCTCCAGGGTTGTGTGAGCCTGAAGGAATGTTTTTGAGGTGGTACATCTAAAAGATGTTTGTATTATCTACTAACTGTTGCCTAAAACGGCAACCAAGTAGACCTATGATGACTGTGGCTCTCTTTTGTGTGCTTCCCCTGTTTTCAGCCTTTTTTCAGTACAGATATTACTAGGCTGACTATGTTCACAGCAGGAGATAATGTAACACAGTGTTAAGATATGAGAGTTGATATGAATTTTGGCTTCAAATCTCCTGTAACAGAAGATTTGAGTAAAGAAGTCACATTATGAAAGCTTTTGAATCTCTTGGTAAACGTGACTTAAGGTTTTTCTCAGTATCTTTACATCTGTATTTTCCAATTACACAGGTGCATACAATTTCAGTGCATTGCTGGAGTGTATGTATGCTACATGTCTTTTCTGTTTTCAGCTGGGATGTAAAAAAAAAGCGGACTCGGTCCATTCTTGCTTCTTCTTTCTACCTTTCCTATGTTGCTTTTGAGCTTATGATTTTTTTCCTTTACAAAACAGTAACTTGTTTACACTGAGTGATATTTATAGTTATGTGTAAGTAGTAAGCTAATAATTTTAAACCACCAAACCTTTTCTTTGTATCCCAGATAAAGACTTTAAGTTTTCCTGAAGCTATAAGGTATTTTCTTGAATGTCTTGTTACAGCACAGATGTCATCAGGTTTCAAAGTAAAGGAAGACAAGGCAAGAGAAAGTCCAATTCTGTGTCAAATAATCAGAAATACTAGTGTTGCTTGATGGGAAGACATGCTCAATATAAAGACTTATGCTTCTTAAATGCATTTTTTTTTCTTACCTTTACTGGCATTAGGGTAAGCAAACTCTATGAGTAAGATGAAAGCTTGAAGCTATCTTAGGTACAAACTAACTGTGACAGCGTGTGTTCAGGTCACAATGAAAGCTTCAAACTACTCTCCTGGTACAGATTACACTGATTAGGAAAGCCTCATTGACAGAAACATATTACAAAGAGTAGGCAAACTTAAGTTCAAAAGAAGGTCCATAAGCCACCTAAGGTCTTTTCCTTTTATATTCGTAAAACCAAAAGGCTCTCCAGCATCATTTATGCAGTTTTTGGCATATGCTTAGAGAGGCAAGGCAGTTTTTTCAAAAGTTCAAAGTAGATTAACTTTCGCATAAAAACCTGTTACAATGTATCCAATTTGTGGAAACTGGTAGTCCATTAGACCACAAGTCTCTTGTACTGCTTTTTCGGGTGCGGATGTGTGCAAGACAGAAGTATGAGCATCTATTCAATTACTTGTTAAGAAGCTGCGATATATCAGCATTATTGTCTGAGGAAGGTGTTTAGAAAATCTGGATTGCAATTAATCTTCAAATAGACTACCAAATCCTTTGGCTTGCTAACTGTGTAAAGGTGGAAGATAGATATCTATCCTCGCTATCTCCATTACTTACCTCCTATTTGTAACTTATTTCTAAAATTGGTTTTGCACATGCAAATTTCTTGACCTACATTTTTTTTTCTGCAAGGATTCTGAGAAGGAACAAAGGAGATGCAGGATAACTTTCTTTTACAACTCCTCACCAGAGGGCTGAAGACGTGGCAAAGGAATATAAATATTTTTAGCTGGATTATGGCTCTAAGTTTATGAGAAGATACTTGTTCCTCCTGGGGGAGGAAGAGGCAACTGTGTTGTTGTATTTTAAAGGCATGTTTGAGCTTTCCTGACAAATCTGTTTGAATTGTACCAGGATCTGAGAAGAAGCTTGCAGATCAGTATAGAAGAGAAAAGGATGGAGGAGAAATCTTTTAGTGATGATTATGACTCTGTTGAAGAGGATGTGTTTTCAGAATCATCTCCTACTGAGGAAACAATTGCAAGCTTTGGAGGCCTTCAGTTGCATAGCAATAAATCATTGCAGAAAGAAACTTCTGAACATCAGGAGGCTGGGAGACGCTCTAGCCTTGATTCTGGTGCTCTTATTGTGTTGGAGTTCAAGCAGGATCAAAGTAGTAAGTCCCTATGTATCAGGCAATTTTTTCTACAGTATTGTAATAATTCTTTGAGAACACTAGTGTTTTGAATTAAGGTACAGACCTGTAGCAGTTCCTTTAAAAGCGATATCCATAATCTGATGTGGGAAAGATCTCCCACAGGGGTAATACTCTTGCTTCTTTTTTAGGGGTACGTGCCTCTGGTTGCCTCCATTCCTTCCCAGATAGTGTAGAGAACCGGCAGAGTTCATGTTATATCTTGGGCTAGGCTTTTGGGTGCGTGGAGGAGTTATTTTATTGTGTGTCCTTACTGAAATAGTTCTTTTTGAAGTATATTTATAAGTTACTATGTAGGATCAGCCTGCCTCTCATAGTCTCAGGGCCTATGTCAGGCCTGTATGCAGTTATAATCACAGGTACTGCTTTCAGTGTGTACATATATGTATAGACATCATATAATTTGTCTTTTAATGTGTAAATAAATGTAAAAATCACTGTTGAGAAATATTCTGGAGGTCAGTGTATTACTGGGCTCACTAACAGATTAAACAAATTAATAGGAAGCAGGTTCATTTTACATTATGGGCTAAATACATACCTTAGCTCAAATGTTCCTTAACTACTGACTGCCATAATCTGATTATACCTGGCAAAGAGTTGCACCATACATGCCATATTCCTCCCTGTGCATCCACTGCTGGCTGCTTTCAGAGATGAAAACTTGCCATAGATGATTATTTGGCCCGATCTGGTAGGGATGCCCTTTTGCCTTGTGAGAGCTGCACTCTGGGTTTTGCTATGCTGTTTGCTAAAGGAAAGACCACTGAGGCTGTAGGGATATATGGCTTCTCAGTGCTGACGGTTACTTCAGCTTTTCGGTTAGGGCTAGGAAGACCAGCCTTTGTTTCAAGGTTACACTAACACCAGGTTCATGCTTCTTTCCGGCTTGGACATGAAACCTGCGTTCCCAGGGCCTTTCGAGGGGGTTGAAACTGGTATCAGTATTATGATAGCATTGAAAGTAACACACAGGAAAGTACTTTGGTGTTTTGATAAATAAACACTGCCTGTGAGTACAGAAGGCAGAGAAACGTTAGAGTGGACTACCTTCCTGGCACCCAGGCTTTATCTCTAGCTCCCATACAGTGACCTAAGCCAGAAGGAATAGCTGTATCACCCAGTCTGAACTGGCTACCTTGTACAACACAAGACATGGCACATCCATGAATTGTGGATATCTTTAGGAGAACTTCTGCTCTTTTTCAAGTGTTAGTAGCACATGCAATGAAACGAGCATGTCCTTGTGGAATAAGAGAATTCTTACTTTAGTAGAACCTATATGTCCAGCTCCTGCTTTGTCTCCTTGTGTACTACTTGCAGGACTATGTAAGAGTGAGTGCACACACACTATATGTATCTCAGTTCTCCTCAACTGCTTTTTGCAGTGCTTCAGAGTCATGGCTTTCCACTAAGAAAATCTTTTTTTGTCTTCTCTTCTATAGCATCCTCATTAGCTTCCCTTGTTTCTCTTAGAGTCTTTTTTCTTTTTGTTAGCACAAATGTCTTTCTGCTGCAACAGACAAAATAGCACACTGGCAATGACAGCTAAAACTTCTGCTGACATTTCAGTTCCTCCAGTCTCACCTATTTTTCTTTTCAGTATCTCTTCATTTGTTATCCTTTTCTCAGATCGATTTTCCTTCTGAAATACTTTTGGATTGTCTTGGATCCATTTCAAAACAAGCTTCTAGGTTTTCCAGATGTTTTGCGTCAAGATGGGGTTACAAAAACTGCTGGCCTTTTAAAATCTGTTCTGTTTGTGTGCTTGTATAGGCTCAAGACAAGACTCAAGTTTCAGATGAGTACCTCTCTAAGGTACTGAAGTATGACGCCTCCAAAAATATCTTGGTCGGTTTTTTTCCTTCCTAATGGAGAAGTGCATAGGCTACGCTTCCAGTCTAAAGATCCAGTTCACTGTTGCGATGGCCTTGGGTTGTAACTCTTCCAACGAGCTCTGTGTTCTGCTTTACTGAGCAGCAGCAGTAAGGAAAATGCCAGATCTGCAATTAATCAAGTCCACTTGGATGCTGACTTGATAAGAGTCAGGATTTTTCTAAGTGTAGAAGGTTCAGTGAAGGATGATGATGGTAATCTGAACTACAGAGGAAAAAAGTGACAAAGTAGGCGAGGACTACTTTAGTGTGAAAAGAGATGTTTGAGAGTGAAAGTATAGAGGGGATTAGATAAAGCTCTATAAAATAGCATTTGGCGCTAGACTTTAAATCACTTGTACGGCAAGACCTAAGGACACCAGTGATGTTTTCCAGCAGCAGGTCTAAAGCACACAAAAGGTAATACTTTTCTATGTAATGTATAATTAAGTTGTTCCTAATGCTAGTGAAATGAAAGCTAAATTGTCAATGCATTCAGAAAGGCTTTATACAACTTCATGGAAGACAGGGCTGCTGTTATCTATTACAGTTGCTTCCCTGCATCTGTCTGTCTGCTGAAGAAGTCCCTAAAGCACTGCTAGGCAGTGTTTGTGAAGGGGAGTGTTACTCTGTTCCTGTATGCTTTCCGTGCATCCTCCTCTAGCTGTTGTCAGAGACAGGATTTTGGGCTCATCTTTTGATCTGACCTCCTTATGTCTTGCCATTGCTTTACTGCCTCGTAGCTGTGGGGTGTTTGGTGCAGTCTTGCCCATCCTCTAATAGAGTCTCTCTGCTGGCTCTGGCCTGTGTGGGAGATGCAAAGAAAAATATATCAAGTATCATTCATTGACTACTTTGTCCCCTTGTGTCAACCGCTTTGTCTTATGTTTTCCTGAAGATAGCCTAGGGAGTTCACTGTTTATGATGGTTTGCTTCATACTCTCTTGAGGTTTTCGTACTCTTCAGCAAATCTGTTGTTCTGATTTGCTGATTTGAGAGACTAATTAATGTCCTTTCAGCAGTATTTTAAGGATTTTTTTTGAAAAGTAAGACCATTTACAGCCTTATTTAACCTGCTTGCATCACCAGGCTTAGATACTCTTGAACCAGGATCTTTTCAGACTGTCTGTGAGATTTTTTTCAACAGTGTTCTTAATATGTGTTTTTAGATTATTTGTATTTATTTATTAATAATCCAGGAAGCTGAACCATCCCAGTCTCAACTTCCTCCATTTCACATCCTGGATGCTGATTGCCTGTTATCATGACATGTGCTATTCATCCTTGTTTGAGGATATGCTAATTTGAGAAAGCATATCTATTGGGCTATATGAGCCAGACTTTTTGTTAGGGCCTGCATTCTCCTTTGGAGACCTCAGTGTCTAGGCCCTGAATCAGTCATTGGTTCTCAAAGGTGTTTAGCTCATTAAAGATAAGAGAGCTCAATCAGAGGACAGATCTGAGGCTTGACCCATGTTGAGTGTTTCTTAAAATTCCCTCCCTATCTCCTTTTAGGTGTGTGTGCATATATACATATATATATATATTTTTTTTTTTTCCTCCCTCTATCCGTAGTTAATAGCTCAACTTAAGAGGAAATGGTCTCTGAATGAACTGAGTGGAGGAGTGTTCTCATAACCTTGGAGAGGTGGGGTGCGAATGTGGAGGGGTGGCAGAAGCAGGGATAGAAACAAGGGATGGAGCAGCAGTGAGCATACCCCATGTCAGCTGAGGACAGCAGAAGGGGAGAGCAGAGGGAGCTTTTCTCATCATAACTCGATTCACAGTTCTGTTGCGGCCACATCCTGTTGCCCTGCCAGTGAGTCCTTAGTAGCAGTGAGTCTTGAGCCTGCCCCAGGGTGTTTTATGCCCTTGGGAGAGGGAGGGGCATATCTTCACTTTGGTATAGATAAACTAGCAGCTGAAATCTGTTGGTGTAGAATGGGAGGAGATCCTTAGTCCTGGGAGATGTTAGAGAAGTTTGATTTCGTTCCCCTTCTGTCACTGTACTGAGAAGGGTATCAGTCTGCTTGGACTCTGTGCTCAGTCCAAGCTGGTTTGAGTGAAGTTTGGCTCAGCCTTTCTGTGTCACCTTCAGTGCTGGAGGGCTTCTATCCATGTAACAGGATAAGAGCCACAGAACCAGACAATGGTGAAGAGGAGGATATTGGGAGAATCCCACGTGGCAAGCTCTCATTCAGTGCCCATGTCTATTCTGGCAGTTCTCAGATGTTCCCAGTGCATTGTCTGCTATCACTTCAGCAGTATAGGCCAAGATCTTTAGACAGTGATTTTTCTCCAGAGGGAAGTTTCAAAGCTTATGATGCAAGCAATGGAGGCATTAATATTCTCAAATAAGAGTACTCTATTGCAAACTCCACTAGACAACTCTCTATCCTTTGACGTTTTTAAGTAAGACTAAATTTTAGTCCATGTTTTAAGAATTTATTTGGGCTCAGCTATGTTAATGAGTGACTCGGGGCTCCTTGTTCTGTTTCTATGTTTATTGACAGTAATGCAGGTAAATGTGTGCTGCAGACAGAGATGTATTGGTGTAAAGTATTTTATAATGATATGTTTTGTTTTGCTAAGTCAGTGCAAGCCATGCATGTGTAATTCTACATTAATAGAAGTGCCAATAAAAGGAAAAGAAGGTGGAGGTTGTCATTTTAACTATGCCAGTATAATTAAAGCAGGAAGACTTTAGTGTTTAAGGTCCAATAGGTTTTCTCTAGCTGGCTGCTCCTACATATTTCTGCATTTGATTATTTCTGTTCCTTTCTTACCTTGCAGATGTGAAACCGGTACGAGTTTGCTCTGCAAAAAGAAAAGATAATGCTGAAACATACGTTCCCGTCAGACCAATCGTGGTGAAAAATGAAATACCTCGGCCGCTCTCTGCTGAGTCTTTGCAGCAGGAAAGACAGGAAAAAACTTGCTTGAGTAAGAAATAGGAATATGTAATGTCAATAAGGAGAGTTTTCTTTTTTCTTTCTTTCTTTTTTTTCCCCCCCTCCTCTGGCTTAGGTGTAATTTCTGCATGCATTTGTCATCAAGAGATTTTTCTGATTTGTTGTCCACTTTTTTTCTGTACTACCTCAAGAGTTCTGGCTCGGTAGCACTGTGCAAAAGTCCAGAGCCTGTAGGTTTTAATCTTCCTACCTCTTAATCTTCCTTCTCTTTTTGCATTCACAGCAGAAGACTTTTTTTCTCCCTTTCAGTCTTACGCTTGCTCTGTTTTCTGCTTCCCTGTGAGAGACCTATTCTCGTTGGTACTAACAGAGGTCTATCTTCTCAAAATCAACAATTGCCACTTAAGTGGAAGATTTTAACACAAAACATTTATAGCAAGAAAGGAATACAATTTTTCCACAGCACAGAAAAACTACCTCTGTTTCTACTCTAAGGAGATGGATGACAGATGAGTGCAAAGACAGACACTGTGAAGCACATTAGGTCAGAGCAGTAAACGGTGCTAGATGCTAGAGTCATCTTTTATATATACTGAAGTAGGGGTGGCGTACTATGCTGTGTCTCTGCTGAACTGTCCAATTCTTTGTGCTCAGCTGTTTCCCACAAGATTGCCTGTGCTCAAGGCTAATTTGGCATGGATGTCTTTTTGCTTCAGTTGGAAAAGTGATCTGCTTGCTGTATTTGCCTACGGCACTACTGAAGTTGATTGGGCTTCAGGCTGGGACTATACTTAAATTACACCTTGAACACAGCAGATTGATCTCCAGTGCTGGGCAGATATGCCAATATCTGTTACCATACTGGTAAATGTTGTTGTTTTTCTGAACTGGAGACACGTTTTGAAGGCACTGCTACTTATTCTAGAAACTTGCTGCTAAGGTTTGGGCTTTACCTGGGTTAAAACAAACAAATGAAAAAAACCAACCTAATTTAGGGGCTGAAATCAGGATTGCAGTTTTTAATTTAGCATAGCCTTTAATTGAACAAATATGGTGAACTTCAGTTATGATAGGGCTGAGATAACAGCAGAGTATGGTAACCCTGACGATTTACAAATGGTTTTCAAGAAAATAAAACCCAGATATGTCCTGCAAAAGCAAGATGTTAGTGATTTCAAAAGATCAAAATAATAGCTTCTTAACTGAAAGAAAATCTCAACCAAATTAAGGAAAAGAAGCTAATTCTCTTTGCCTTCAGGGAAAAAAATCACTTTCTAGCTCCTGGGACTGACTCTCACCACTGTCTGAGCAAGTGCTTGCTTTGACCACTTTCCAAAGATGTATGTAGCATTTTTTTCAGATTATAACAGTGCTCATTAGAATTGTTTCTGTCCGTCTTTCACTTTAAATCCTTAAATTAATTTTCTTTTACAGGGAGTAGTTTATACAGAAACATAAAAAGGATTTTGTTCTATCCCTGGATTTGCAAAGATGACTAATGCTTGTTGGAAGTGTCTGTTTATGCTTGAAGATGGCATAGGGCTGAGGCTGGATGCACTCAAATCTCAGTTCAGTTTGAACTGACTTCCTGTTGTTTATATCCCCTAGCAGTTTACTCTCTTTCTTACTTGACCTCACTGCAGCATCATGAGTGTGCTTTCATATCAACCTGTTTAATGTTTTCTCTTAATATCTGTACAATGCGAGTCTCTCTTATTTCCTTGACTTGAAGTCCTTGAATACAGCTGCACTTCTCTTTAAATTTAGTCTTAGATCCTCTGTTGTTCAATTTTTTTTTTCCTTTCTTTTAAACATTTGTTTCCAGCCTGGGATGTTTCTATTTCTATGGGATGTTTATGGGAAGACTGGGATGTATATGGACATTTTGATGGCTGCTTAGGTGATAAAGTTCATCTGTTTTGCCTTATGAATAGCAACTGCTGACTCTGGTTTTGCAGTTCTTGGGATTCCTCCAAAATAGCTGAATATCTGTAGTTTAATTGAAAAAAACCTAGGGTGCTGAAACTGTATATACTACTTTTCAACAATTTTTTTACAAGGCATTTCCATGAAATACCTGAGCAAAACAAATATATAAACAATTTAAAGTATAAAAATCCCATGTTTTTCAGTTGCTAGTTTCCTTTTCCTTCGATGCTGTTTCAGCTGTTGCCTAGGGCAGATGTGACCTGGAATTCTAATGTAAAAACAAATTGCAGCAGTTCAGCCTTGCTTGGGCTGTTTACAGACTATTAGCTAAGGCCTCCATTAGTAGCTGTAGGTTTCAAATGTACGCTGTTGTAACATGCTGTACTTGTCTGTCAGGAATAATGGATTTTCTTTGCTTCTTTTGGTGGCAGGACCACTAAGTCGACCAGAAAGACCACTTTCAGCCACTCGGAAGAACGTGTGTGAGAAGGATCCTGAGCTCTCTGTTTCTGCCGTTATTAAAGCTATGCAAATTGAAAATGAAGTATTGCAGAAAGATTTGCAAAGGCGATCAGTTTCCGCAAGCCATGAGAAGGTATGGCAAAATACAGAAAAGGAGTATTTGATCATGCAGTAAAAAAGACTTTTTTCTTAAACATGAATTAGTAAGAATGAATGGTGATGTCTCTTAACTCTAGCTGAATTTGCATTAGTCTTCCACAGGGTGTTTTTTTTTTTTTTTTCTTAATCTGCTTCCTCAAGATATCATCCCACAGCACTGTCTTGATTTCAGGGATCAGTGAACAACTGACAGACCAGTCACATGATAAGTCTATACAGTCAAGTGCACAGCTGCAAGCCCAATCTTATCTGTGCTTTTAGCTTTTTTCTTTCTGGAAGCTTCTTAAGATGATGTGTGATTCCCATGCCAATAAATTCTACCTCCCTACTGAACTCATTAATATGGGCACAGTTCCCTGTTAATACATGTTCTGCTTCTGGAGCAGAGCTGTCATGTACACTTCTGGCTTTTAGTGAGGAGGAGCTAGCGTAGGTTGTCTCATCTAACTCTTCGTATGCATCTGTTATCTCCAATACCCACGTTTAAAAGCAATTAGGAATTCCTCCAGCAAACAACAGAATCAGCAAAAACCTTCTCATTCCCTTCGGATTTAGAGCAGACCATTCTTACCTGTTAAGCCAAATAATGAGGAGCTTTGTACTGACAATCCTGGCTAAACTTTATGAGTATCACCAATAATTCAGTTCTTTTAGCAGAAAGAAAAGACATAAAGAAATTCAAGTATAATCTGAAGCATAAGAAGCTTCTTTGGCCTAATCTGCTTTAGATTCTCTATTTTGGGTAGTGTTCATGGATTAAAAGTCTTTTTCTGCTATGATGTTTGGGAGCCTCATTTTTATAGGAAGGAAAAGGGATATGCCGGGACAATCTTCAAGTTGCTTGTTTTGGAAACTCTCAGAATTCAAGTAACTGACTTCTTTAATCTAAGATGATGTTCCCTGAGTTTGGGAGATGATGCTTTAATGAATTTGTATCTACTCTTGTCTCTGAGCTGATATTGAGTTTCTAGTGAGTTTTGGTTAGGGCCCAAGCATAAAAGGTGTATTTACTATAGGTAATACTTTGTATATGCTGCTGTAACCGTCTTCTAGATGAACTTCTTCATTCTATTCTTCTTACTTTTGAGATACCCATAGTTTCATGATTGAGATAGAACGATTTCCATGCAGTGTTCTCAAATAATGTGATTTCCTGCTAACATTGTGACTAACTTTAATACTGTTGTGCTTAAATGAAAAGTAATTAAGTAATATTTAAAAGAGACTTTTGTTACCATGAGGCTTGAGATGGAGTTTCAAAAGCCCACAGTGAGCTCTTAGTCATAAAATTGACCTAACTAATCCGCCAGAAGTAATTTAATTCTGTTCACTAACAATTAAGGCCTATTGAAAACCTGGCCTTTGATATTTAAAAGTATAACAATGCACAACGACTGTTTTTAAAAAGTAGTTCATTTCTAAGCATTGTAAAGTGCTCTTAATTTTCAAGAACTATAGAAGTGGAAACGCTGTAGGGAGCAGAAGGACTGGCATTCCTTGTCTGACCTGTTGTTTGCTGCATTAAGTTTTCTGTCTCATTTAGAAAAAGTAGCAAAGGGAGCAGGGTGTACATATAAGGTGAGGTGCAGGCAAAGAAAGAGCGTATAGCATTGTAAGAACCACAAGATTAATAAGAGGAGCAGGCACAACACAAGAACTTGGTTTCTCCGAGGGTGGAAAGTAAGCCTTTTTAACAGCTGGAGGGGACTGTGAACAATTTACTGCAGCTCATAAAATTGAGACCAAATCTGAAGGCAGGGATTCTCCAGCAAGGATGTGGTGAGCAAGTGGACGTTTAATGTTTTGTCTGACCTAGTCACTAAGCCAGCTCTCTACTTAATGTCAATAAATCTAAATTTTTATTAGATAAAACAGCTTTTTGGAGGGAGTGAGGATTTAAAGGTCTTTATGGTGTTTTTTTTTTAGGGGGAAGGAGAAAGCCTAGGCAGACCCTTGCTAAAGCTTCGGCCAACTGAGTGGAGAGTCCCACCACACGTAGAAAATGAGACTTCAGACATACATATATACTTTTCACAGTCATTGGGAATTCTTTTATGTTACTTTTCTTACATGTAGGAATTCAAACTCCAGTCTTGGCTCTCATTACAAACAAAGACAAATTTTATGAAAAGTGCTTAAATCAGTACAGAGTTATAGGTTAGCTATGGTTAACTGATATCAGAGCTGGGCCTGAACTCTCATTGATTCCAGAAATGCAGACTAATACTCATTTTGTGTATGTAGAGGAAAAACATTGAATGAACAATGTTCATTTTTCTTATGTAGATACTTCCTGTTTCGTCTGGTTTTGTTTCTGCCATGGCTGAACCTTCAGAAAAAAGTCGGACGACTGCAGTTGCAAAAGCTGTTGAAAGGATAAGTCTTTTTGGAAGCAGGTATATATTTTCAAGGAAACTTCCTTTTGTGGGGGAGGTTTTTCAATATTGACCTCCGCTACACCTGATTGTCTTCAGATGTAGGAGACTTCACACAAGCGGTAGCAAAAATATGGAGAAGGCCCAGCCTTGTGCCAGTGGCTGTGAAATGGGGAACTGCCATCATCTCCCTCTATGTATGCCTTTGCATTACCTTCTTAGACCACCTCAGGGGTAGCAGAGAACTGGAGCCCAATCTCTTAAGCAGACTGCATATATCTAAGAGGGGGTGCTGAGACAGTTGCCGTTCTGTGTGGGGATGCCTGGTGTGAGGAGGTTCGTCTTGTCTTCTCTTTACTTTCACACTGACGAAACTGTTTCTTAAATGTAAATGAGTTATGAAGAAATAACATTTAAAAGAATGTGTGTGTTTCAGGCAACAGAAGAAACTTCTGAAAGTTCTTCAGGATATTGAGAGCCGTTCTGCCTGTGATAAGGACATATTCTTACCTGAGGAAAAATCTGAAGCAGGTTCCACAGTGAGAGAGAGGGTTTGTGTAAATGAGCACGATAACTGATACTTCTCAATTTTATCAAAACAAAAATACATTGAGTAATCATTTCCCTTATGAATAGGGACCTCTCTGGGCTACTTAATAAAAGGATCTTTTCAAGGTAGAAGGGAACATAAAGGACCTCTGTAGTCCACAGTTACTGTCAACTCTATCTGCATAACAACCTCTTTGATAACAACAAATACTTTTCTCCCCTGTAGTACTGGGGTCTCTTGAAGACCTCATTCAATTTTTGGTCTCATCTAGGTTGTACTTCCTTCTTTTGAGGACTGCAGTTTGGTGTCAGATGGCTCCCTCCTTTGATGCTTTCTGTGAATTTCACCCCCCCCCCCCCCCCCACCGCGGGCCCAGGGGCATGGTGAAAGTCGTGAAAAATTTAGATCCATAAGGGCCCAGTTACACAATATTTTTAAGAGGGTCATTTTCAGGCTTTATTCTGTACAATTACTGCAGAAATGTGTGTATCCTATTTATTCTGTATTCTATTTAAATGTTTTAATTTCCTAACTTTCATTCTTAACAGTCAGGGAAGCTAAATTTTTGCACATCTGTTATAGTACAAAAGCACTTTGTACTCGTAGCATAAAAACTACTCGGAAATGCATTTGAGCTCTTTTCCAACAGCTTCAACTCTCTCTTCCAAGAAAGCAGTCTCAGAAGTTTGTTTCTATTTTGAATGAGAACATACTGCTGTTTACCACATTGCCTGAGCTCTAATGTATTTTGGTTGAATTAACCATAAACGTCTCATATACCTGTTTCTAAAGTCTGTTTTGGTGTAGGGCTCTTGGTTAATTCATGCTTTCAGTAAAACCTCCTAGTTGCATCTTAAAGCAAACGGGTTACTACTTGTTGGTCAGCAAGAGTAAGGTCCTTTGTTAGACAGCAGGGTGATCTGAAGAGGAAAGGAAAGCACAGATCAGCAGCAGTTACTCTGAGTTATCTTGTCTACTCAAATTCCTTCTCCCACTGTGCTGTGCTGGTAGTCTGGTGCTATCAGACTGCATATTTGCAAGAGATGTAAAGGACTAGCTGTCTCGGCCCTTCATGCTCTCAGATGCTATGGGAGGCAAAACATCAAATAGAGTTAGCTGTGCTGACCTAAAAAAAAAATACACAGTTGTTTGGATTTTTACGTGAATTTAAGAGTCAAAACTGTTTGGCTGGTATATCTTAGAAGTCTATAGTCTCTGTAATGGAAAAGCAAATGCATGAATTGCCAAGAAAAATGTTTATTTAATAAGCATTGTTTGAGAAGTCAATTACTTAAAAGCTGGAAAATGCCAGAATTTAGATTGCTTGTGCCTCCTTATTTTGACTCATACCCTTAAGTTTTATGATGCAGCTAGTAATTAGAGTTCACACATCATTTGTATAGCAGAACATTCTGCTTCCTTTGTTTATCAGAATGATAAATGAATAAGACAAAGAACAGCTCTCTGTTCTTTCTTTAGGCTTTGGAGTGGACTGGAATCTAAGAGGGTGAAAAGTTCAGTTCTCTTACTCTGCCATAGGCTTCCTAGTTGATATGGGGCAGAACTCGTGGAGTGTAGAATGATTCAAAGTGAATGTTATCAAGATGTCCTTGAGTCTGCAAGTTTTTTGCTTCTGATTGTTCAATATTGCAATTGTAGGTTTTGTTTTGTTGTTTCTATGTATATCATAATATTTCATTTAGGTCCAGATGACAACCAGCATGGAAATTCGGGATGCCATCTATGTGACCATGGAAATTCTTTCTAACTGGGGAAATCCAGTACATGTGGGCTTGAGAGAGGTGGAGTTCTTCGATTTATATAACGATAAGATATTTGTCTCTCCTCATGATGTGGACATTCGAAATACTGACTACCCAGGGGATTTGTGCTGCTTGGTCAATAAGAAATTAAGTGTAAGCTAGTTTATTCCTGGATGTGAAAACATCTCGTTAGAATATTTATTTAATGCTCCATCACTATGCTTTTTTATAAATGATTGCATTTTGAGCATGAATTGCATGACAATTATCTGACAATTTAAAAATTACAAACATTTATTATTCATACAAACAAAACTTCCTGGACAAGATGACTATATTCAGTTATAATTCTGTTTTAAAGCAGAACTAGATTAATTTCAGTAACTGGTCCAATTTATGTAACTGGGCAGCTGGAAGGAGGCAGCTTTAACTCTGCCTCCTTTATATACATATGCATTTTGATACGATCTTTGTTGAAGAAGCACATTCAGTTTTTAAAGTTTTGCAATATGATTGTAATATATCTGTAGAACAGGATCGTGGAGTGGAATGTTAAGGGCAGGGAATTTCACTTTTTACAGTACGCCTGCTGCTAAACTTCAGTAATTCTTGTGAGCTGAAGGTATGGGAGCCTCATTGTTAACTTTTTGTTCTGGTTGTTTAATATGAATTTAACTATGTTAAGACGGGGACTCTGTTTCTTTTCCCTTATCCCCTTGTTGCCCTTTTATCTTGGGAAGGACTGTGGAAGGATAAGGATGGATGGATGTGTGGATATTCTTGAACAAGGGGTTAAGTAAAACATGTAGCATGCCAAAAGAAAAAGACTGTGTGGCTTCTCAGTGAGACAGCAAGATGAGGAAACATAAAGTGCTTGTATACTAAAAACCCTGGACTTAGGAGAGCTGGGATGAAATCCTGATGCTACTGAAGACATTAGTAAATTTCTATAGCCCTTCATTCAGCCAGGATTTCATCCAGGTCTTTATCTGTGCCACAGATTCACTGCACGTCCTTCAATCAATCAGTAACGCAGAGTATTTAAGTCTCCATATTTCAGAGCTTGAATCCTAGTAAAAATGGGTATAATCTTAGTAGGTGAGGATACTAAATGACTTAGTCTTTTGAAAACATAAATTATAACTCACTTTGCACTGGTGATACTTTTCCATCTTGTAGGGTGAGTGAAAACAGAGGGCATGTACAGAATATTTTGAGATTTTAGTTAAAACTCAGTATGCAATATTATTTCCAGACAAATATTTTTGACTTGAAACATCTTACTGTCCCTGGAAATTGTAGTTTGGGTGTCATAAATACCCATTCTTATTTATAGGCAATGCTTTCTGGTGGATGACATTTTTACTGAGAAGTAGTAATGATTCACAGACTTTCTAGATAACTATAAATTATATAGCAATATAATTATAAATCCATTATAAAACCGTTATCCACAGCATTTCTCATCTATCCCATTATTCTTAAAGTAATGAGGTTTTATATTTCATTGATTAATATATTCCTTTGATCTTCTGCAATGTAGTCTCTTATCTTGAAGCTGGAAAGGTATTGCATCAGAGAAGATGTAATTTGGACAGAGAATGTGGTCTCAGACAACAATACGGACATGTGATAAGTGTACTACAGTTCTCTTCAGAAGTTAAAGCAATGTTTCCAGGTTATATACATTTCAGGTTATAGAGGAAAGCTTTTGGGTAGGGTAGATAAAACGACAAATAGATGAATCTCCAAGCAAATAATATTTTCAGCAAAAGGGACACCATTTACATAAAACCTTGCTTTGTGGAAAACCCACGTGGCCATTGTTGAAACGCATCTTTGATCATTTAGATGTATGTTTGTACTTGAGTGTAGACATACTCTCATTGAAAATCAGGTTTTTTTACATCCTTGCAGACTCTTAAGAAGATTGCTTCCTCCCTTGTAGATAGTGATTTGAATTTCTGGTGTCAGATCTTTGGAATGGTGCCAGAGACAGTAATACCTGTGAGTTTGATTATCTTAAGTCCCAAGCACCTACTTTCACTGATAAAACAAGACCATTTCCATAGGTGTTCTCATCACAAGAATTAGCCTGGGACTCATACATCTTCTGTTGTTTGAAAGAGGATGTGCAGCTTTACAGAGATATTGGACAGAAGCATGAACTGCAGACTCCATTTTGGTACTGACTCTGCCCCTCTGTGAAGGCACCTCTGGCTCTGTCTCAGATGATCTGGAGAGATTGGATTCCAGACAAACAAAAACCTCCATGTTCTTTTCTAGGGCATCAGGCCCTGACTTGATAAGTCTGGAGATGGATCACTCAGTAGATGATCTTCTGCTGTTGACAAATTATTTTTTTTAATGTTCTTGTTCATAACATAACTTGAGAAACAAGATCTAGCTTTGAAGTTGACCCTGCTTTGAGCAGGAAGTTGCATTCACACTGATTTGAGGGCTGTCTGTCACTTCTTTGATGTTAAGAAGCTGCTTGCTCTCTCTCTCATGTGCTCTCTCTGTGTGTGTGTGTGTGTGTGTGTGTGTGTGTATGCATATGTATGTATGTATATGTAGAAAGGACTAAGCCCTTTGGGTACTTTCCTGCCCCAAGCTGATAGTCGAAGCAACATCCATCTCCCAGAGCTTTTTAGGAGGCCTCTAGGGCAGAGACATCCTCAGTCATCAGGAGCTTGGTCTAGATAAATTACCTGCTGAGAAGTTGTTCTGTTCCTGGTATCTCTGAAGCAGACAGGTGGAGCTCTGTCCTTACTATCTTACTATCATCAAGCACACATCTAAAGTACTTGATAAGAAAGTTACGCAGTTGCTGTTTTCAGGAAGAACTGAAAGACCAACTGCCAAGCAAAATGATGTAGAAAAATGTTGACTTTATATACCCACTGTATGAATATACGTACTGTCTGCCCTTGACAATAAAAGGGGAGGTAATTTATTTGGTAATGTCAAATCTTTGAGATGTTATCTGCGTGTAAGTTTTATGCCCTCCTTTATCTCTGTTTTGAGGTAGCATTTTAAATCAAGAATTTTAATATTCAGCATTTAAGAGGAAACTCTGAATGCCCACCATATGCTCCACCAAGCATGAGGGATAGTAATCTGTGATCACACATCCTGTAGATGTTGCAACTCTTGCCCATGCATATACACGTGGGTCTGTCCTATGACTAAAGGCTGTGCGTTTGTGTGCACAACTGTGGTCCTCAAACCTCAGAGCACTGCAATTACTGGGGAATAACCTTCTGGGTTTTTGAGAAAATTAATACTGTAGGTGACTCCTGTCTCTTTCACGGAACTTTTTTCTGTCACTTCTATTCTTGTCCCTTTCAATCACTTATCTGCATGTATATCTGCACAAATCTCAACCTGTTTCCCAAAAGAACCTTCACCCTTTTCCTTTTTAATTTTGAGACAAGTTGTTTCTTTCCCAGCTGCTAGAAGGATACTCTTTCAATATTTGAGATTTTTTTTTAGTTTGTGGTTGTGAAAACATATCTTTTCCCTCTGTTTCTGAGCATGTAAAGATAGCACTTGAGAACAATGCCAAGAATTAGGCACGTGTTTGTGCTTTAAACGGTCTTGACTGTGAACTGTCTGTAAACCTCCTTTCTGGAGTTTGTGTCATGCCTTAGAAAATTTCTAGCATGAACTTCTATGTACCTGTAAGGAATAGGTCTGTAATTGAAATTAGTTGTGTGCAAAGCCTAATTAAAATAGAGGCAATGAAATAAAATTCTACAGGTACCCATATCTGTAAAGGGTAAAATAGAAGTGTAACCACTTTGTATATAATCATTTTTCAATTTATAAAAGTCCATTGTGCTTAGTGATCCCCGTCAGAGCCTGCAAAGCTGATTAATATGATTAAAATAAACTGGGCTTACTTTGACCCTGCAGTTACAAAGCGTGGCAGACTGTGTCATTGGTGAGCATGCAGATATCTCACTAGGACAGCAAGCAGCTGACCTCTATCTAATTGTCCGGCTGTTGTGGGCTGTCTTACAGGCAGGCAGCAGAGTTGGATTTACTGTTTGAAAACGAGGCTAAGGTTTTGCTTTTAACTCAGTAGGCTTTATCAAGGGGTTACTGTTCTGATTGGTTTACTTGGTGGGGCGAAGAGGATAAATTAATCAAAATATTTTGCTTTAGGAGGAAGAGTATTAAGTGAGTCTACTTGTATGTGTTTTTAGACCGCGAAGGAAAGCTTCCTTTGGATGTGCCCTTTCTATCCGCCCATTCAGCTTTACTTTGTTATCCGCAATCCCACTCGGTCACGTGACTTTGGTATATCCAAGATCAAGATTTGGAATTACAACACAACAGCTCTTAGTGTAAGTAGTCTATTCTCCACTCCTTTGTATGTATGCTCTGCCTTGTCTAGGGAAATTCAGCTTGATCTTATTTCCAGAAGTATGAAATAAAATTAGGTACCATTTCTCTAATAAAAGGGGAGGTAATATACATAGTAGACAAGGAGACATTTCTTGTCTACTATGGATTTTTGCTTTTTTATTGATTAAAAGTGGTAGCAGTGCGTTAATGTTTTCACAGGCACAGGTAGTGTTCTCTTTTAGAGCTATTACCGTTCTCAAAAGAGATAACGAAAGGCTTGCATATTGTGTCAATTAATCCTTTACTGTGGTGAGAAATTAAGATACAAAGGTAAGTGCATCTTAATATTCAGGACTCTTTGGGATGTTTTATCAGAATATGAAGAAATACTTGTTTGATTTCTCATAAATATATATATATATCTATATGTATTTGCATATAAATGTATGTATGTGTAAATATGTATAAACACGCTTGACTGTCACTCGATTCTGGTTTTGTTGCTTTAATTCCAAAGTATACTCATTACAAATGCATAATAACACAAATAATCCAGTGTTACAAGAGAGACATCTTATGGCAGATGGTCACTCAATTGTATATTTGAATTTCACTGTGGAAATTATTCTCATTTCTACACTGTGATGTTTAATAAAAAAAAAAAAAAAATCCCAGGCACTGAATCAAAGAGGATTTTCTGTTCTGGATTACAGATAAGAAGCTTTATCCTCCTGATTTTGCTCTCAGCCATGTTTTCATATAAGCACGTATGTTAATTCATACATATGGAAAGGGCTATGGAAGCAACAGCTTAAGCAAATGTACTATAACATGATTTACATTTATTTCCTGGAAGTTGAATAACATTTTTCTGTTGAACTGTGGGCTACAGAATGTTCCATCATGATTAGAGGATGTGAAAGGGACTGATGTTTTTGGAGGTAATGGTATGATTTGTTGGCAAATATATTGTATGTAATGTAGGAAATATAGGTAAATATATTTCCATGTTTTAAAGCACTATTTTTTTTAAACAAACTGCTATGAGACAAGCTGTAACAATCCATTAGGAGTATAATCCTGTGGATTTCAGTAGTAGTGCAGCAGTCTACGCTGATTAAATAAATGGCTCGTTATCCTTAATGTGAAAAAGTAGTACAAAGCAGTTCTGCCTAATTCTATAATTTGTCATGAGGAAGTTTTACCTGAGAAATGTAAAAAACCAAAAATATAATTATCTTTCCCTGCTAATGAAAATCCAAACTCATGTTCCTTTAAGAATTTTTAAAAACTTTTCTAATTATTGCAACCTCTTCCTTTCCCTCAAAAGCAACATAAGCAAGAGGTGCCCAAGTAATTCTTAAGGATTTTTTGCAAAAAGCATGCAAAAAAACGAATTCAGGCCAATACTTCTGGACTGTTGAAAATGCTTGAGTTTCAGAACTTGAGGCTCAAAGTAGAAAAACGATGTCTGAAAGGAACTGTAGAAGTCAGCTCTCCTCATTATCGTGGATGTATTGATTCAGTGCATTACGAGGAAGGTCTCACGGAGTGCTTCATCTTGTTGTCTTTATTTGCCTCAGATGAGGTTTGCGAAAAAGGAGGTCATTTTTGGTGTGCAAGAACAGATCAAGAGAAGAAAAGAATTGGGTACCCATTCTTACAAGTTTGTCTGCAATAGTTAGGGTTTCTGTACAAACTTGCTACATCCAAGTTGCATCATTACTTGATGCTGTTAAAACCCTTTTCATAAGGTCGAACATAGTGCCTGTTGTATGTCTTCACAAATCTGTGAATGGAATTAATACTTCAATGCATGAATGTCATGCTTTCTGTCTAGTCGGATAATTTCCTCCTTCAAGTTATTGCTCATGTGCTTGTTCATCCTGTGTGTATGTTCATGTTTGTTCACTAGAGTTGGAGAATTTTTTTTCAGCCTTAGTCTACCACTACGGTGCACTGTCTGTAGGGGAGCAATTTATCAGTTCCTGGCTAAACTGGAGCTTTGTTCACACTAGCATATTTCCAGCTAAGTTAAGTTTATATAAGAACTTTTTTCCTATCTTTTGACCTTTTTTCTGTCCCTTTTCCCATCTCCTGTGAAGAGAAGTGAGGCAGAGGAAACTTCAAGTCCTCTGTCCAAGTGTAATTCTTGGAAAAGTGCCTCTGGTTTCAAGCTTTGCCCCTCATTCACAAAACTAAATAGCACTGTTGGGTGACAAGAAATGCTGTCTCTGCCACTTGATAGGAAAGCACTTTCCCTGCAGGTCCTCTTTGAGGGCTGAAGGTGCAAGCCAAGAAGGAATGCCAAGAGAAACTGTAGAATTATTTTCACAAAATCTTTCAGTGTTCACTGCCATTGATATATCTGCTTCTGAGAAATCGTGTCGTTCTAATTGCTGTTCTGGGAGGAACGCTTGTTTGTAGGGTGGCTTTTTGATGAAGCTACTTCATGAGAGTAAGCTTCTTGGTGGAACTGCTCTCATGAGCAGTTGATGGAAGAACTCTTGGAGCAGTTTTTCAGAATAGTTTCATCAAGAAGCTGCCCTACAAAGAAGGGGATTTTTCCAACATCCCTGTGCTGGAAGAGGTACTGCGACAGGCTATTCTGTCAGCCTTTCCCCATCACATCTTACCGTTATGCAACTGGAAGTCTGGAACCGGGAGTGATGATATGAAAAAGTAGAGTTCTCAGAGGTTTGTGTCTGCACATTCTTCATTCTTGGAGTCCCTGAGATCTATTCATATTTTTTCCTCAGTGTGCTCAGAATTTTAGTGCAAGAGATTTTCATTAGGTCCTTTGCTTTAGCAAACTATGCCTCTGGAATATACTTTCTGATGAAATGCCATTATATTTGAGCTTGGCTTCTTTGCTCAAGCTTTCCTAAGTATTTTAACCTTTATTTCCTAGGTGTCTGCCAAAATGGTTCGCACTAGTGTCTAGGAGGTTCTTTTACTTCCTTAAAAATCTTAAATATTCCATAGTATTTTCCACTTCTTTGAACCTTTCATTAGTAAGCAGATAAAAGCATGTTATTGGTATGGGTTTTTAATGGCTTTCATCTCTATATTAATTAAATGCTCCGATGTCAGAATTTCAGAACAGTGATATATAAAGTTTGAACAGCATAATGGAAATCTTAATACTTTTATTTCTGTAGGACCTTGATGTAGGAGCAAAGAAAGTGAAGTTATATGTTGATGAGAACCTGATATTTGATGGTGAATTAGAGAGAGGCTCTGGAGAGCTCATCACTGACTGTAGCACTACAATTGACCTTGCACATCATGGACAAAGTGTCGCTGCACATTCTTCAAATGAAGAGGAAGAAATAAATGCAGCAGCACTCATAGACAATAAAGAGGACCTATATTTAAAACACCTACAGCCAAGCAATACTTCACTATACTGGAAGTCTCTGCCAGAGGAAAATCATCTTGAGGATAAGATGAACTCTATCAGCTTTGTGAAGGAAAACTTGACTGAGTTAGAGGATGATCTAAAAGAGTTACCATCTCACGTTTGTATGAAAGATACCAAAGAGGATGCAACAGTACCAACAGTTACACAGCATATTCAATCTGATGAACTTCCTTTGAGTGAGGAAATGGAAAAACTAACAGGAAGAAAACTGTCTGAATCTGCTGATGCGCTTCCTTCTTGGTTACAGTCCCCGTCCCAGGTAACAGAGAATAATCAAGGTATTTCCAGTAAGCAGAAGCCTTTGTGGCTTGCTACAGAACATTGTTTAGGCTTGAGATTTCAAACACAGTCAGATGGAATCACGAGAAACTTTTCAGGTCTGACTAATGAGGATGTCAAATGTCAGAAAAATGAATTGGGAAGATCCGGCAGTAGAAATCTAGCAAACAGAGATGAGAGGTCACAAATGCTAACCAGAAAAGATGGCAGTGTTGGCTTGGACATTTTGGAGCAGCTTTCTAACAAACATTGCTACAACTTAGAGTATCCTACAAGTGGAAGGAGAAGCGTCAAATATGGAAGAAAGGATATGGAAGAATATCAAATATGGAAGAAAGCGTCAAATATGGAAGAAAGGTTAAGCGCTATAAATGTTGGAGAATGTGATTCAGCACTCAAAGGTAAGAGTTCACGATAGCAACCTTAGTGCTTGCAAACTATTTGCAAGTTTTCCATTTCCGGAAGTATAGACAGTGAGATTATGTGGTTCTCATTTATACTACAATACTCAGGGTCTCTATCTGTGTCCTACACATGATGTGAAGCACTGTTTTTTTCCTGAAAAATTTACATTCTGAATGAGTGGTTTTAAATTTATTTGGGGAAGATTAAAGACTGAATTTAACTCTTAATTATATTCTATAAAGTGATAATCCTGTAGACAACAAAACATTTGCTATATCGATGAAAATCTGCAAAAAAACATTGAGGAAAAACGTGCCTTGAGGTAGCGAGTAAATTTACCGTTTTCCTTGTGTGGTGCATTTGTGTCTTTTGCAATGGGAGCGTTTGCTGCCTACTGCAATTCCTACTCTTGTTTTTCTTCTTTCACTTTTTTTGTGCATCCCTCTTTAATTCTGTCTGCACAGTACAGGGAAATATGATACAGATATCCAAGCTAAAGAATTCCTTAATTTAAATTGTGTGGCTTAGTATGCCGCAAATGTACAAGCTTTGTTCAGGAAGCAGTATAACGTGCTCTTTCATTATGGGGACCCTGGAATAAGAAAATCTGGACAAAGACATTTTAGGGTATAAACAGAGAAGGGTTATGCTAAAAATAAGCAAATGTGTTTGGGTGTTTTTTTGGTGTTTTAATGGCAGACCAGTTGCAGCATAAGTACTAAGGGTAGCCCTTATCTCTCTGGCTGTCTTTTATTGAGGACTAAGCTACTTCAAATTGTCTTGCTCATGGAGTCTGAGCACAGTGGGTCCTGTTTTTAATGCTGCCTTAGAAGACTGCCTCTCTTGATGATCCTGATGAGTGTTGCTATATCACTGGTGATGAACACCACATGTACTTGAAAACAAGCCTGTAACAGGGTGCGTGTTGAATGACTGCATGTTAGGCTAGGCAGCTTGGCAGGAGCAAGAGACTTAACCTCACAGGTTTGAATTTTGTTTAGTAGTATTTAAAGACGAGACTAAAAAGGCAACTCTACTGAGGAGAGATTTGTCTGTTACCCTGGCCCTAGCTACGCAAGGCAAAAGCATGCAACGTTTTCACTTCATCAAAAAGTTTCTTGCAATGTGGTGGTGGTTTTCTCCATGGTATAAAACCTAGAAAAGAGGGAATAATAAAAGCCGTTAAAGGTTGTATACTCTCAAATCTGACTTTTGAAGTTTTAATCCCTTGTTTTGCTTTATAAGCAGAAACAGGTGGGGTGGTTTTTTTAGTTTCTTTTTTAGAATTCGACTGCCTAGGTGAAAGAAAGAGCTCTAGAGTTTCCCGGGTGTTTGCAGTTTTGCTCTGATGTATGCTTTATGGAAGAGAACAAATAAAAGACACAATTTTTTGCCATTTATCTCAACATTTTAACCAAGCTTATCTTATTATCAGCCTTCTCCCTGTGATAAAGGTGGCTTGGGCAAGTTTGTAGGCCAGTCCCTGAGCCATGTCATACAGCTCTATATTGGGTAGACCTAAATCTCTCATTTTTTTGTTTCAATGCCATTCATCCAATTCTGGGATATATTTTATTTTATAAATCCTTTAATCAGATTTTGCCTTATGTTAAGGAATTGAAACCTACTTGTAATCAGAGCACATAGAAAATATAATTTAACTGAGGGTCTGTGACAAGCAGTGCAAGTGATTTCCCTACAAAAAAGGAGAAGATTTGACCAAATCACAATATGGCATGTAAAGCTTCTCTTACTGGATTATATTCTCTTTTAACCTTTGTTTTGATGCATGCTAAAATTAAATGAAGGACTAGAAACAAAACAGTAAGCGATCTTATAGCAACACTAAATTTGCTACCTTTACTGTGTATTTTATGTAATTCTTTTTATATTTCATGATATTCATATGGATAGCCCTCCTGGGAGAGAGGAAAGCTCCCTCAGTGTCAGTCATGAGCCAATGCTAAAATACCATTAGCTCAGCATCCTTTTTCAGAAAGTAGTCAGTAAGGAATGACTGGGGAACAGGACAAGAACAGGGCAAGCAAGTAATATATGGAGAAAGTACTGTCCCAGCCTACCGCTACATGTGGCTCATGGACTTCCTAAATCAGAGGTAGGGTCTTTCTATTCAATAGGCCTGGACTGATGGGGGTTTTTTTTCCCCTTCACAAAACAGTGCAGTCAATTTTTTGAACCCAGAGAATTCCCCGTTCAACCACCTGTTGTGTGAAGACTGTCTTGGGTTTGTGGTGGCCCTGTCACCTGTGAGATTTATTCTATAGCCCTAATACTTACTCAGTGATTGGAAAATTGGCCTTGTTTTTCCTTTTCCATTCGTGACTTCATATACCTTTTTCATCTCTCTCCCTCAGACATCTCTCCATGTCCATGAAGAGTTCTAGACAATGTAATTATTATTCATGTGGAAGCTGCTCCCCCCTTTTGATTATCGTCCTTCTCCGAACCAGTTTGAGTTTGGCTGAATCCTGTTGGAGGTGGGGGACCTGGATTTGTGTAGCCGTGTTCTGCCTCTGACAGTGTCCAACAGTGTCTCCCTAGGGAAGAGCAGGAGACCTGGGCAAGTTCTGGTGATACTTGCTGCTTTCTCCCAACCTCCAGCAATCTGTGGCAAAGAAATTTCTGGGTGTGGGTAATAGCTCTGTGTTCAACTTGTGGGTAACAAATTCTATTTTAGCGTTATTTAGAGTTATTGAACTTTCTCTAGCCTTTAACCAAACTTTTTTGGATTTTCATTGATCAGAGTATATTTTTAATCTCCATTTTTCAGTTTCAAGCTATGCGTCACTCTCTCTTTTTGGGGCTATTTAAGGCAATCTTCGACATCCTATAATTCTTCAGGATTGGATGACTTGTCTCAATGAACAGTGTCTGGCAGAAAAAGGCAAAACGAGGCCCAGAGAATTGGAAGAAGAGGTTACAGAAAAACAGCCAGAAGTTTTGGGTGTAGATTTGTAGTTGAAATTCTATGGCAGGTGCTGTATAAGGTTATCGGACAAAGGTGAGGAGAATAGTTCTTTCTAGGCTTAAAATATTTGAATTTCCTTCTCTTGCCCCTCTCTGTGGGGGGAAAGAACGTTTTATAAGTATATCAGAAATCACACCTCAAAGAACCAAAAAAATTGCTTAAATAGTTAGGGGAAATACCATCTTGCCTTTACCCATCCATTCACCAAAACCCATGTTTGCCGTTTCACACGTTTTATGCTACCTCTGGTAGCTTAAAAACTTTTTGGTGTTATGGAAACTGTGAACAGATCTCACTGTAATGATTTCCATTCAGTGTTAAAATGGTAATGATTTCAAAGTATTAATGTAAACTATCGCCTGAGGGTTATCATGGTTCTAATTGTGATGTCCTTCCTCTACTTTTGCTCGGAGCAGGCTTAGTCATCTGGTGCTTAAAACTCTTATGGAAAAATTGAAAATAAAACTCCCAATATATGTTTGTTCCTGGCAGAATAGCATGCCATCTAGCTGCTTTTTGTTCTTTCTGTAGTGTACTGTGCAGGGTAAAGCTGTCTCCAAAGTGAAGCTGAGTGAACATTAGCAACAGGGAAACAGTTTTAAGTGTTTCCCTAAGAATGGTGGATTTTAATTGGTATGGGGCTAAGGGAACTGCAGTTTCCTAATGGCAATATGTGACAAAGGGGAGGCTGCACAGGCCCTCGTACAACTTCACAGCGCATCTTTGGTCTTTAAATGAAGACTAACGAGAAAAACGGAGATTAGAAATAGCGTGTACGTGCCTACTTGACTTGAGTTAATGTTGCTATAAAAACCATACGCTTTTTCTTTGATAACTGCTTCGATGTGCAAAGAAAATGCTGATGAAGTACGCTGATTAAAATTTGCAAAGAACATAAACTGGGATACTATGAGTTAAGAGGACTGAAGAATCGCACAGAAAGATGTACTTGAGGACTGCAGTAATAGAAATGGAACGCAGTTCGGTAGTACTGGTTGCAAGGTCATTTGGGGACTAATAACAGAAAATGAAATTGTAAGCTGAGTAATCAGTGGCAAATGACTGAGGAAGAGAAGGTTCTTAGTTGATTAGTTGATCACAGAGTGACTATGAAATGCTAGTGGCACACAGACATGAATATGGCAATGCACTTTGAGGGTGTATCAGCAGAGGTATTTCTGCTAGAGTTATGGAAATGTTAACATCTCAACACAGGCTCTCATGAGACTTCAGCTGAAAAACTGTTTGCAGTTCTGATCATCCATGTTCAGGAGAGCTGATTAGGAAGTGGAACAGATACACAAGAGAGTTCTTAGAATGATCCTGATCTACAAAAGAGATCGTTCAGTGTGTGTTGCTTGCAAGACATGGAGCTTAGTGATTCAAGGCACCCCTCCTAGGCCCACAGCGGGTGCACATCTGAGGTGTCATGAGTTCTGGACTCTGAATAGCATCCCTCATACAGTCCCTTCAGGCATGTAGAAGGCTAGGAATGTGTCTGTAATGTCTACAAGTGGGATAGTTTTTATATTGCATGCAGGGTTTATTGCAGGCGTATCCCTGTTGCTTCACATGGCTGTAATAGAAACAACAAATTTTAGACACTGAAAGGAATGCCATATCTGTCAGCCTTCTGCTGTTGACCTCTGCTGCCAAGGTACCTTCTACTTTTCTTTCAGAGCTCTGTTTTTCCTATTGTCGCTCCTTAACGTAGCCTATGCAAGTTACAAACCTGTTAGCCTCCAATTGAAAATCATTCCTATTGAAGTGCTTCGGAGCTCTAGTCTTTGTACTTTTTGGAGTACTAAAAAAAAACCCCAAAACAACAACGACAACCAAAAAACAAAACACACACACAGAAGGAATGCCAATGGATGTCAAATACTTTCCTGTACTTGCTCATCCTCAAGTTGTCAAGCTTTGATATTTTAAAATGCTAAATATTTATTTAGCACCTTCTCTAGGTAAATTGTGAGGATCTGGGAAGTACTGTGAATATACTCGGTGAGTATACGTATGGACAATGATTTGAATAAGAAAGTGACTTACGAATGGCTGAAGTTCTCTGAAATAGACATGTATTTTGCAATCTGTATTCCCAGTTCCCAGAGAAGGGGTGTGGGGGTGGGGAATGGCCAGGTTTTAATCTCTAGCCTACGCGTACAAATCATATCCCTCTTTTACGTCGTTGCCCATCTGCTTTAAAATTTGTATTCTTGTCTCAGTTGTCCTTCATTTTAAATGATTATTAGTCGTAGATAGATTAGGAGCATTGCATCTTTCCCAGTGATTCCAAAAACAATGTTAAAAGTTAATCGTAAAGCAGTCTTTTGGGACAATATTATTTTGCATTTTACTGCAATAGGCAGGTATTTGTATTCTTGAAAACCATTTGCTTTAATATCCACTCAGGGACATCATATGGAAGTAAAATCTGGCCAAAGAGTCTATAATTGTTCAGTACTACATTTACTTTTTTTCACTTATATGAAGAGTTATCATCTGCTGCCTAATTGTTTTGGGATAGAAATTAAGCAGCCTCCCCAGGGTGATCACAAGGAGAGCATACTTTGCTCTGACTGTGCTCTTGTAAGGCATTACCCCCACAGCGTTCCCATTAGATGCTTTACCATTATCTTCCTTGAACATCATCACTCTTGCTGAAAAGTGGAGAAAACATTTGGGCCTCTCACCACTTTTCTTTAAGAGCCTTTCCCTTTTCCTATCTAATTATTTTTAGTTGCTTTGGGCATTCTCAGTTTATCGCTTTGCTTTGACATGTTGGACATAGTTCTCCTTGTCAATTCTTTTTCTTAATCCTTATAGATTCTTCGTTTACTCTGAATTACCCCTGAGAGATTTATTAATCCACGGAAGCCTGTATCCTTCAAACCTTTATTTCTGCTTCACTGAAATGCAAGAGCCAGATCCTATTTGCCTGAGCCCGTTTACAAAATGATCCAGACCAGTCTGTAGAATCGGCCAGTACTTATGTTGTTCTTATGCTACCAGTCTTTGCCTCATCTACAAACTTTGTCCAGCAGTCACCTAGCATTTTCTTCCTAGTTGTGACTTCCCTTCTCTAGGCGTTCTGATTTAGGTCTCTCTTCTGCCTAGCCATCAGGATTGACAGATGGCACAATCAGCAAGCCTCATTTGGCTAAGAAATACAACTAGTAAAGTATTTGACAAGACCTGTTTCCCATAAAATTACATTTGCTAGTAATGATTATATCCCTTATTACTTGAGCAATTCTGTGGGGTTTTTTGTATGAGATTAGTGTCAGAAGTCAGCAAAATTATCCTATTTAGTTCTTTTCAATGTTTGGTATCATCCTAATATTATACTCTTTTATGGAACTTCTCCACTAATTTGAGATTTTTTTTTTTAAATCAGCATGAGCAATCAGATTAGTCCCAGGCCAATGCTTTCAGAATACTGGAGCGTGAATTATGGAGGCAAAATCTTTAGGTTGTTAAATTATATCTATTAATACTCATATTCATGTCCTACCTATTGGTAGGAGATTAGAGTAGCACACTGATTTTGTATACATAGAGTGAAAATTAATTTCATGTATTTCATAAGAATCGGACCAAATCATCCTGTCCCTCCCCCAGTCCCTCTGCTTATCAGCAGGA